AAAAAAAAAAAAAAAAAAACTTTAACAAAGTTTCAAAACTGTAATGTTCAGCTGGTCACAGTAGCCCATGACTGTAATCCCAGCACTTTGGGAGGCCAAGGAAGGAAGATTGCTTGACGCCAGGAGTTCAAGATCAGCCTAGGCAACAGAGACCCTGAATCTACAAAAAAAAAAAAAAAAATTGGGCATGGTGGCCCGCCTATAGTCCTAGCTACTCAGGAGGCTGAGGCAGGAGTATCCCCTGAGCCCAGGAGTTCGAGGTTGCAGTGAGCTATGATCATGCCACAGTACTCCAGCCTAAGTGACAGAGTCAGACGCTTTCTCAAAAAACAAAAAAAATCTGTAATGCCAAATTTTATGTAGTTACTGTGGTTAGGTAGAAAGAACACTGGCCCAGGAATGAGAAGCAGGAGTTCCAGGCACTTACTAGCACTGTGACCTTGGACTAGTCACTGATTTTCCCTAGGTGTCAATTACCACACTTATGAATTGAGAAGATTGAACTATATTGCGCCTAAGAGTCTATCCAGTTCCTTGAATCTATGGTTTCTTTTCTAATTTTAGGGTTAGCATAAAGGAATCATCTGTAGCAAAACTAGGATCAGTATGCCGTAGGATTTACAGAATATTTTCACATGCTTATTTTCATCACCGGCAGATATTTGATGAATATGAAGTAAGTATATTTCACTAATTATCTTGATGTATTCTTATCAGAATGACAATAATATGTGTTGATATTATTTCTAGGGTTTAAATTCGGGATAGTAAAATAACATATTCTTTCTTCCTTTCTGCAGAATGAAACATTTTTGTGTCATCGGTTTACTAAGTTTGTGATGAAATATAATTTGATGTCCAAGGATAACCTGATTGTACCAATTTTAGAAGAGGAAGTTCAGAATTCAGTTTCTGGGGAAAGTGAAGCATGAAGGGAATCACATAGAAAAATGTACTGATCACATAATTAACATTAATTATGTACTGTATATATTATCATTTTAGACACATCAATCATGTATCCATATTATAGCTTCTTTGTTTAGTATAGGTTTTTGTATGCTGTGTTTGCCTTTTAAAATGGGAAATACTTTTTAAGTTATTCATAAGCTGTATATTCACCGGTGTGGCACTCATGGTTTTTAAATAAGGTTAGTATTATCTGTTTATAATGCCTGTTAATAAAAGAATTTACAGTTTGGTAAAATTGCTGCTAAACAATCATTGGATCACAATCCTCATCAAATAAACCCATCTATAAAAAGACGAGTGAGCTTGAGGTTTCACACAAGCCATTTACTAAAGAGATAGTAATGTTTTCCTTTGATTTTACCCCTGAGTTTAGATATTCTAGAAAATTCTGTAGTACATACTTCCATCTTAATTGTTAACTTTCCCAAAATGAGATAAAAGTGTTTTAAAAAGCTGTTTATAGTTTTTGGTATGCATATATGATTATGGGTATATCCAAATGGAAAATGCAAATGAAGCATTAGTAATACTTAATCTTACTATGCTACAATAAAGCATATTCCAGGCCAGCATACTTGGAAAGGATTTACCTTTCTGCAACAGTGAACTTTAACATACAAGATGATGATAAGGCACATAAATAATGTTCCCACTGGAAACCTGCCCTGATCCGTTTGTCATTTCCTTCAACCTTCTCAAACTTTGTTAGCTGAGAAGCTTTTCACCAGACTGTGATTTAGTGGTGGCTTATACCTATTTATATTTGTATTAATTGCTTACAGATTATACCTCATATTAGCAATTATATTACACTACAGGAAAAATGTATTGGCATAGGCTCTTGCTTATCTTTGTTTTCAAAATTGTTCTAACTACTTAGAAAACAGTTCTTAAGATAGTTTGACTCTTCCTGTTAGTAATATTAATCTTTTCATCTAACCATCTAGGCAGCAGTAGAGTTGAAGAAATATTGTAGTATTTATTTTACACCCCCTCCTCACCAAGTTTGTTTGAATTATATGCACATGAGAGATTATTTGCAGTAATACACAGGTTCCCAAGGGTATTGATGAATGTTCATGTATTTTTTTGGACTTTGTTATAATTCAATGTTTTAAGAAGGATTCAAGTGCAGATTTAACAATCTTATAATCTATTGAATGCAGTTTTTGATAAAGCACTGGAAGTCTTACTGCCAAATTTTAATGAGGCACTAAGATGGGGTGAAAAAATTGTACATGTCATGAAGAAAAATATTTAAATTCATCTCTTGACTAGATTTAACAATGTGAGGAACTTTTTTTTTCATTTATAAGGTATTATTTTGAAGATGAAAATGTATTCATCTTGTTTTTCAAATTTGAGGGAATAATTTATACCATATTATGAGACAAGTATGTACAGCAAAAATGTGAGAAATAGTAGCATACTGAGAATGTGTATATATAGTTTATGCCTTTCCAAACTTGCCAGTCTTTTGGGCTTTGAAAAGTGGTATCCCAACAGCCATAGTCATTACTGTACCCCAACCCACAACTATCTTTTAAGAAGTTTTATGTTCACAGTGAAAGGAATGTTGGCTTTGAAATTATGCATTTATATTAATGTTACTATAAACCAATGGGAACAGTAATTTTTAAACAAACTTGCTAAATATTGGGAGACTAAACTACTAAGTTAATAAATTATATATAGCAATGTAGTTATTCTGTCTAGACAGTGTCTCACAGTGGATTTCTGTTGCTTGACTATTAGTGAACATTTGAACTAAGGTATTGACTGGCATTGGTGATCTGGCTGATTATTTTGAAACACAGTTTGAATAATATGGTTTAGTGTTAATGGGGAAATAAAATATGACTTTTTTCCTTACTCATTCCATCTCCCTGTACTGTGTGTTTGGAATTGATCATAAAAATATCTCCAAAAGAAAACATCAATTTGTATTCTTGCTTTTGTATTCATATTGACATCTCAGTAATATTCATTGCACTATGAAGTTGATTCACTGTGTTAGGTAAGACCTAAATGAAATAGTTCCTGGCCGGGCGCGGTGGCTCACGCCTGTAATCCTAGCATTCTGGGAGGCCGAGGCGGGCGGATTGTTTGAGCTCAGGAGTTCGAGACCAGCCTGAGCAAGAGTGAGACCCCGTCTCTACTAAAAAAAATAGAAAGAAATCATCTGGACAACTAAAAATATATAGAAAAAATTAGCCGGGCATGGTGGCGCATGCCTGTAGTCCCAGCTTCTCGGGAGGCTGAGGCAGTAGGATTGCTTGAGCCCAGGAGTTTGAGGTTGCTGTGAGCTAGGCTGATGCCACAGCATTCACTCTAGCCAAGGCAACACAGTGAGACTCTGTCTCAAAAAAAAAAAAAAAAAGAAGCAGTTTCTGTTTTTCCTTAATACTGTTCATAGAGTTTTTAAAATGTACATGCATGTACGTAAATAGTATTTAAAAAATTAATAAGCCTGACAAACTATAGATTTATAAAAATTAAGTACTCTAAGAAGAGAGAAAACAGAAAATTATCAGTTCTGCGTGAGAGGCCAGTTAGGTTCCACTTTTTGTTTGAATTATCCTATATAGATCCAAAAATTAAAATTAGACTTTTCTTTCCACAAGAAAATATAGTCAACTCTTTTTCTTCTATCATTTCTGGGAAAATAGTTAGCTTTAATCATTTATGTTAACATAGTCCTTTTGTGTGTATACATTTTTTCTCTGAGTTGAGGTGTTAAATTCGCATTTCTGAAACAGTTTCTCAGTTAAATTCTTGATTACTTAATACCTTTTAATATGAGTAAAGTTAGAAACATGAACAATATCGATAAGGGCAGTGTTACCGTTATAAACACAGTTACTTATTGATGTCATATTCATTTTAATAGAAGAACTAATTTTTTTCCATGGATACTTTGCCCTACTTTCTATACAGTATCTTTTTGCTTCAAAGGTTCCTGTAATTTTATTAGAGCATTTAAATTCTAAATTTTATAGACTTTATTTTGTGAATACTTCTTGACATCCTAAACTTACATCTGTGAAGACAGTATGTCAATTAAGTGATAATAATTCTGGGATTAATTATGACACCAACATTGAAAACTAGTAAGCTATTCATTTTCTAATGATTTCTCCTGTAAACTTTGTTAAAAGTAGCTTATAATTCCATAAATAGTGCATTTATCACTATTTTGTGTGGATCTCATGAGAGCCACCTGTATTTTGTATAACAATTGTAGTTTAACATTTTATAAAACAAATGCAGATGTCGGATTCTTTCCCCCACCGCACCCCCACAGGGCTTCATTCTGTCACCCAGACTAGAGAGAGGTGGCACAATCACAGCTCACTGCAGCCTTGATGTCCTGGGCTCAAGTGATCCTCTTGCCTCAGCCTCCCAAGTAGCTAGGACTACAGGCGTGCACCACTGTACCCGACGCAGATTTTGGATTCTGATTGTTGAGATACCATGTTAGTGATTATAATAGTTTCCTATGGCCACTGTAGTAAACTACCACAAATTTAGTGGATTAAAACAATATATCTGTTCTCTCACAGTTCTCAAGGTCAGAAGCCCCAAATCAGTTTTACTGGCTAAAATTAGTTTCCTAGTTCCTTCTAGAACTCCAGGGGAGAATTCTTTCATTGCCTCTTCCATCTTCTGGTGGTTCCCAACATTAAAGAATGCTTGTGGCTGCTTCGCTCCAGTCCCTAGTTCTACCATCACGTTGTTTTTTCTTCTGTGGTATCTACCCTCTGACTCCACCTCATAATGACACGTCTGATTACATCATTGGGCCCACCTGGGTAATCCAGGATACTCTCCCAATCTCAAAATCTTTAATCACATTTGCAAAGTCCCTTTTGCCATAAGAAGTAACATATTCATAGGTCCCAGGGATTAGGATGTAGACATTTTAGGGGCCTTTATTCAGCCTACCACAGTAATCCGCTCAAATTCACATTGTTAATCTCAAGAAGTCATGCTCTGGATTTAATATTTACTCTGATAGTGGTACTTTTTATTTCCTTCCTGTTACCCACTTCTTCATGTCTTCCAATCACACATGCTTCATTTAGGTCTCTGATTGAAAACGTTGAACTTGAGATCATTTTCTGCAGATTACCATTTACTACATCCTCCTTGTATTGATCCATTTATAATTTAAATTCTTAGTATGATAAATATTTTTAAATTTTCTTGTGGTAAGAACCCTTAACATGAGATCTACTCTCAACAGATGTTTAAGTGTGCAATACATTACTGTTGACTATAGATACAGTGTTGTCCAGCGGATCTCTAGAGCCTATTCATTTTGCTTGACTGAAACTTTGTGCCTGTTGATTAGCAACTTTCGATTCCACAAACGTGTCAAATCACGCGATATGTGCCTTTCTGTGACTGGCTTGTTTACCTTAGCATAATGTTTTCAAGGTTCATCTATGTTGTAGCATATTGAAGAATTTCCTTTTTAAAGACTGAATAATATTCCATTATATGTATATATCACATTATTCATCTGTCAATAGACATTTAGGTTGTTCCTATACCTTGGCTATTGTGAATATGTTGTAATGAACATAGGAATGCTAATATCTCTTCAAGATCCTAACTTCGGTTCTTTTGTATAAATGCCCAGAAGTGAGATTGTTGGATCATATGATAGTGCTATATTTAATTTTTTGAGGAACCTCCATACTGTTTTCCATAGTGGCTGCACCATTTTGTATTCCCACCAACAGTGTGCAAGGGTTCCAGTTTGTCCACATCCACACCAATGCTTGTCTTTGTATTTTTGATGTCTGTTGTCAAAAATAATAGTCATGTGAGGTGATACTATATTGTGATTTTTTTTTTTTTTTTTTTTTAAGACAGAGTCTCACTGTGTTGCCTGGGCTAGAGTGCCG